CATTATCAATGATTTATAACCAAAAGATCTAAATTACAGTGTGGAAGAAGAACAAATGTGGAGGATTTGAAGAAGCAATGGTTTTATAGGTTTCTTCAAAAAACTGTGTTTTTTCACATTCTAGGACTTGGTCTCTTCCTCTTCTATCTTGGTGGCATGCCCTTCGTTACTTGGGGAATGGTAAATTAAATCTCGACTTCGTTTCTATAAACAATATCGTTTCATTTGATTTGATTTTTTTACAAAATTTATTTTCAAATGTTAAATATATATAATTCGAAACGGAATGAGTATATATATATATTTGTGTTAATATATAATTCTACATACAGTGTATACTAATAATTTGTTTTTCAAATGTGTATCAATAAAATATAATCGTGGTTGGTAATGCAGGGTGTTGGAGCAGCGTTGGAAGTGCACGTGACATGCCTCATAAACTCACTTTGCCATATTTGGGGTTCTCGAACTTGGAAGACCAATGACACATCTCGTAATGTTTGGTATGTACTAGTTTTCATTTCACATTTTGGGTGTGTACCAAGAATTATCGAATATTTTTTCCCAAAATATAAAAGTAAACATGAATGGTAGACAGCTCATATTCCAAGATTCGCATCAATGTGGTTAAAGTTTTTTTGTAATAATGTTTAATTTATCATATGGTTTATTTTTATTTTTTGAAGGTGGTTATCGGTGTTTTCATTTGGAGAGAGTTGGCACAACAACCACCATGCGTTCGAGTCCTCGGCTAGGCAAGGACTCGAATGGTGGCAAATCGACATTTCGTGGTACATTGTTCGGTTTTTTCAAATTATCGGTTTGGCCTATGATGTGAAACTACCTACGGAATCTCAACGACGTCGTATGGCTATCGTTCGTTGAGTTGCGGGAACAACAACAACAAAAAAGAGGGTATAATATTCTATGTAATTAGAATAATTTATATTCCCAAGAGAGTTATTGTTTTGTTTTGTTTTTACATATGAAGTTTTGAGCCGAAAAGAACACTTCCGATGTGTGTTGGTGTTTGGAACAATTTGATTGAGATGTTGTCGTAATTTGGTACTTATAAAGTATTTAGTAGAGGGGGCAATTAATACGTTAATTACGGTCTCTTTGTCTATGTGAGACTATTTTAATATCAATCCAATACTTATTTTCAGAGAGCATAAAATAAAAACTACTAAAAAGAAGAAAAGCAAAAGACAGAATTGTTCACATTGGAGATATTTTGGTTTTCGGTTTATATATATATATATGAAAAGAAGTATTG